GTGGAGAGAAAGGAAAGGCAGAAATAATACAGGACAAAACAAAACAAACAAAACAGTTATAGCTTAGGGATTACCTGAAAGGTAGAAGACAGCAACTGCTCAGCCTATGCTGGACCAAGATCAGTCTCCAGGTTTTCCTCTTCAACTTCAGCTCCAGTGGCTTCTGTCTCCCTCCTTCTCCCCCCTCTCTGAACATTAGCCTTCAGCCTCTCTCCTTCCCTGGGCCAACCCTGGCTGTTATTCCTGGGCATGGGCTTGGCTGCCTGCCTGGACCCAGGCCTGGAGCTGGTGGCATCGATGGGCTGAGGGCAGTCCCGTAGGCTACGAACCCTGCAGGTGGCTCTGACCCAAAGAGCAATCAGGAAGCTGCTTCCATCTCTCATGGAGTTCTGTGAAGTGACAATCAGGCTAGTGCCTGTTTTCTAGGACTTACTGTCTACTGCTGAGAAAAAAATCACCTCTTGGGGAACTGAACAACCATTAAGAGCTAAGCCACAAAGACGCAGTGCAAAAAGAGACAAGAAAGGGAGAGATGAGTGTGAACTCCTATTACAGAAAGAAATGTGGAGGGACTAAGGAGGAGGAACTCACAGTTGTGGAACATGGGTTGCACACTTCACACACATCCTCACCTGCACATTTCCTAACCATTGGACTGTCAAAGCTTGTAAACATTAGGAAACAGGTTTCTTCACTACTAAGCGTTGGGGCTAGGAAATGAAATCAGTCTGTCAGACCACAAGGCCTGTTCTGAGTCCTTCAATGACTGGAGCATGGAATGGAAAGGAGGGAGGCAAAGGGTACATCCAGCTGGTTCATGTTGAGAGGTGATTTTAACATATGTATTGATAAACCTGGCTGTAGCTCAGTAGATTGACCACGGGCTGTGAATCGAAGGGTCGCAGGTTTGATTCCCAGTCAGGGCACTTGCCTGGGTTGCAGGACAGGTCCCCAGTGGGGGGCCACCACGTAAGAGGCCACCAAACACTGATGTTTCTCTCCCTTTCTCCCTCCCTTCTCCCATCTCTAAAAATAAATAAATAAAATTAAAAAAAATAAAATATGTATAGATAGCAGTATCTTTTAAGTTACATATATTCACTGAGGAGACTGATATAAATGGTCACATTTAACCCATTACAACACTATGTGGAAGAGAATATAATCTTCCTTTTACAGAGAGGGAAATGAATAGAGATTAAGGGATTTGGCTAGAGATTAAGAGATTAAGATGAAGGTCATACACCAGTCTATAAAGGAAAATGGATTCCAGCCCTGGTGTCTGATTCTAAATGTGCCATTCCACTTCACTAGCCTTACTCTGTTCTCTGTGTGCCTGGATATACCTTTCCCCTACGGAGATGACAATGCCCAAAATGAAAAGATACATTATCATCACCTGGGTGTTCTCGAGGGGTACTTAGTCAACAAGAACAGAGTCAACTTCCAGGAAGTCTTCAGTTCTGGTCTGGGATCTCCCTAAGCAATGTATACCCTTGAACAGGTCATTTAACCTCTCTAAATTTCTGGGATCCTAACATTGAAATATGGGGTCTGGACTATTGTGGAATTACCTTCACTTTTTGTTACCCAAAGAGGATAAAGTTCTAAATTTGCAAGCCTTCTGAGGGCAGACACTTTCCTCCTTAGTGAACGGCTCTCACACTTCTTGCCCAAGCCTATTCAAGCTAACAGAAAATCAGGTAAGACCAAAAGGAGAGTGAAAGCCAGGCCACACCAATCTGAACAAGGAGTGAAAAATCACCCTGTTGTTCCAGCCTTCCTTCTCTCTCCTTAGTCATCTTAGTTTGATCTCTCCAGAGTCAGCAACAGGCCCTGACATATGGAGAACAGACCAGAACAAGCTGGCTCCATACTGTAGCTGGTTGGTCAGGAAGCCCACTCAGAGGAATGCTATGATGGCTGCTAAAGGGAACCTGTCACCTAAGGAAACAGCCCTGGGAAATAAGCAACTAAAATCAGGAGGCAAATGCTAGCACCAAATACCAGCGTCAGTATCAGCAAGGCTTCCTTGAGAGAAGGGGCTAATACAATCTATACTTCTCATTCTTTTCCTATGTAGAGTCTGTTCAGGAGCAAGGAGCCACTGACAAATGCTGGTGCTTCTACATATCAGCAATAAGAAATCCATCTTTCAAACTTTCAACTAAACAGTTGGTAGAGCTAGTCAGGTGCATGCTTTTTCTCCTACTCTATGCCAGATACTCAAAGGCCAGAGAACATGAGGACATGAGTTCCTTAGCTCTTCATTGGCTGCCAGGGGCTGAAGCCGCTGCACAACAACAGCCATCACTATGGGGAGTCTCCAAGCCAAGATCACAAGGGCCCCTGTTCTCACCCGGCAGCCGCAGAAGCTAAACGAACAACCAAGAAAGGCTGGGACTCGGTGGTGCCTGTCTGTAAGTTACTTCCTAGAAAGTAAATTTGCAAAATTAATGAGGATGAAGGCTAAGTATTGTAAATGCAATCACTTGCTGTCACCTGGAACTTGGGATTTACAAGATCATCTTTGGAAATTAGGTTTTACCCAGAGCAACTTGGGAGGGGATGCTGTTCCTTCTGCTAAAGCACACATGCCCCATCTGCTGCTATTTTCACACTTTTAAACAGCTTTTCGTCCTAAAATGTACTGCACAGCAAGCTAAGACAAGAGTTGTAATTAGGGTTGGTAGGAACATATGACTTTCTATATCAACCAATCTTAAAAATGAAAAAAAAAAAAAAAGAGAGAGAGAGAACAAGGATGAAGGGAGAAAGGAAGGAAGGAGAAAAAAATTTTGAAGAAAATAAACCAATGGTTATGTTTCTGTAAAGTAATCTTAGTTCCTAAAACCAATCAGGTTTGCACAAAGTAATTTTTCTTTTCTTTTTAACATGTTCTTACCGTTCCTTACCTTGCGTACTTCAAATACACTAATAAGAGTATCTACCCAGTTACAATCTGAGGACTGCAGCCAGTTTAGGCTGCTAGAACAAATACTACTTGCCAAATATAACCAAGCCAACACACACGCACTATAAAATTTCCAAATACCAAATCATAAAGCCTTTTGGGTCTCTGGACTCCAGAACTGAAGTATATGATGAATCCCACATAACTCAAAATAACCCAAAAGGAGTCGTATTACTTTACTGACCCACATTTGGAATAATTTTTGCTGTCACACTACCTACTTCTGTTCACACAGACCCACTGAGGGCACAGAGTCTTAGGCTGGCCACTATTTGCTTTTTCCACATCCTCTTCTGTCACTCCCCTGTTTAAAACCAGAGGGATGGGCTGTACTGGGTGTGTGTGCTAAATGGCATTATAATAAAAATGACACATCTGCCACACTCTTTGTCTCTGATTTAAACTTGGAGCTTGTCTTCTTACCTGGACCCAGGGGAAAGGAGACCACTGACCAGGCACAAATTCCCTGCTTCCATTAGCATGTGGATACCAGCCACTCAGGTGGAGGATGATAAATCCTCAACATCCAATTACCACACCAATGATCTTTTCAGTTATCTTTTCAAAAATTGAGTTGTTAGTAACTGACTGAAAAATAGTTAACTGGGGATGATACTTGGTTTTTGCATCTAAGCCAAAGAAAGGCAAGAAAGGAAATTGTGAAATGAATCAAAAGATGAGGAAGGAAACCCATACACAGATGACACGCCATAAAGAGGTACGTGAGTGACCACAAATGTCTCCATGTGATTCCCAGAGCCACATTTCCTCTAAGTAGGTCTCAGATTTACAACACAGTAATTCAACAATCTCTTAAAATGTTTACTAATTCTTTAAGGAAAAAACCCCAACTCCATTAAGGCCACATTTATGTTTCTTCCTAGAGGCCCAAGATGGCAGCTGACTATTAATGCATAGTTAGCAGGAAGAGGAAGAAGGACAGAAAAAAGATCTGTACAATCAAAAAATATCTATTTTCAGCCACCCCAGTAAGCTAGTCAGAGAAGGGAGGCCACTAAGGCTTTCACTCACACTGCAAAATTCAGAAGCATTCCACATTATTACATAAAGTTTAGAAAATTCAAAGCAAAAGGAAAAGAAAGTCCCCTAGTAACCCGCCACCCAAAATTAATAATGTGGGAGTCTATCCACACAGTCTCTTCTATGAGCACACATAGGCAGCACACAGAGATGGATGGCACCCATGCTTGTACATATGATGCACATGGAACTTTTTTTTTTTTTAAATATTTTATTTATTTATTTTTCAAGAGAGAGGAAGGGAAGGAGAAAGAGAGGGAGAGAAATATCAATGTATGGTTGCCTCTTATGCATCCCCTGCTGGGAACTGGCCAGCAACCCAGGCATGTGCCCTGACTGGGAATCGAACCTTGATATTCTGGTTCACAGGCCCACGCTCAATCCACTGAGCTACACCAGTCAGGGCGCACATGGAACTTTTAAAAACTGGGGTTGTACTGTACATTCTATTTTGCAAACTTTTCCATTGCCACTTTTGTATATCAATATTCTCATTTCATACAATGCTTTTAAGAGCAGCAATTCACCAGTAGTACTAGCATTACTACCAATGCACCAGCCATTTCATGTAACCCACACACTATTTACATTCTACTATTCAATCTGTCAAAACTTTGGTGGTGTACTGCAAAGGGGGTGCAAATAGGTTGAGACTCTTTTAAAACATATTTAATAGTCAGATAAGTGTTCCACTGGATTGAAGTACCACAATTTGTTCATTTAATCCCATTGTTGGATAATAATGGGACAATAAACAGGATATGCAGCTAATAAACTAAAATCTTTATAACTATTTCCTGAGAATAAATTCCTAGAAGTGAAACCAACAAATCAAAGTATATGCAAAAAAATTATATAAATTATCCAACATGAATTCCAAGAAAGTAGTGACGGCTCACATAATATCAGTATATTACAGTGTATATTTCTCCCAACATCATCTTGTAATGCTGGCCACCTAATTAAATTATTAAAAAATCCTTACCCAAAGCACATGAAGATATTGTCTTTAAGGAAAAATACCAAACTGCCAAAAGAAGATGGAAAACAGGTGAAGAAGGAAACCACTTGCTTCACTGTAAATCACTTCAGAAAGGCTGACAAATCCAATGGTTCTAGCTCCAAGGACTGCAAGGCAGTGTTGGTAAATAGTGAGTAGGGGCAGGGGTTGAAGGGCAGAAAGAGATTAATCATTAGGACATCTTTCATTTATATATGAATTTCCCAAATTTATTCTTTCAAATCAACCTCTCTCCCTTGTCCCCACCCCCCCAAAAAAAAGAAGAAAGAAGAGAAATGATGATTCCCATATAAAGGTCTGATGAATACTAGTCCCCTTATTATACAGGTTTAGCATCAAGGGTAGAAGGGTCTGGCCAATGTACCAGCCAGAATGTGAGGGAAATCATGTTCCCAGGGAGCATGAGGCTTGCTCAAAATAGAACTGTGGGCCTTGGCCCAGCAGCTCAGTTGGTTGGAATGTCATCCTGTACATCACAGGTGGCAAACACAAGGCCCGCAGGCTAAATCTGGCCCTCCACCTTGTTTTATACAGCCCGGCACCTCGTTTCTCCCTGGCAGCAGCACTGAGCTCTTGCTTAACTGTTAAGGAGTAGTTATGTTTATAGTCCTAAAATTACATTCGGCCCTTTGAAAGCAACTGTGAGGCTGGTGTGGCCCCTGGTGAAAACGAGTTTGACATTACTGCTGTACACCAAAAGGTTGCAGGTTCGATCCCTGATCAGGGCATGTACAAAAGGTAACCATCAATGTTTCTCTATCTTTCTCTCTCTAAAATCAACTACATATCCTTGGGTGAGGATTTAAAAAGAAAAAATAGGACTGCAGAACCCCTGGAAATGATAGATATGCTGGTCTGCCTTATCATATATATGGCCCACAGACTTATTATATGGGCTTTCTAATTCAAAATGAAGCCATGGCTACTACTACTGCATGCAGCAGAGAGTCTTTAGCCTTCCCAACATCCAAGCTCTTCATCAAAAGACCCCTCTTGCTCGCTCTTGGCCAAGTGGTTGGGTGGGGCTCATTATGGACCATGTAACTCAGGCCCACCAAAGCTCACATGCCCCTGGTTTTAATGACTGGTTCAGGGATAAGCAGGTGACCTTAGCCAGCCAGAATGAATTAAGTACTGCAACACAGGAGGTTGGAGCTGCTACACTAATCTGATCAGAAACAGCCACCAGGGAAAAGAATAATGCTTATCAAAAGGTTAAATGGTCACTCTTTACCATGGAAATCAAGAATAAAACATCACCAAGTGACAAAGAGAAAATGAGTTTTGAAGGCATTATTTGCACCCTGAATCCAACTGTACCTAAAGTCAGATTGAAGCCTGAATTTCAGCTATGTCAGCCAATAAACTCCCCTTCTGCATAAGCCAAATATCAGGTTTTCTGTAATAAAAGGAATTCCTACCAAGACACATGCTCTTACTCACATTTCTTCTATTCACAGAGCGAAGAAAAGAGAAAATCTGATACCTTGACATTCTGATTCACAAACTGGGACCAACTTACAGGGCCACAATTTCAATCCAATATATCAAGGGACCCTTATCTGAACATTAGAACCAGTTAACACCAAACCTGTGCAAACTGTAAAATTCCATTACAGCTGGGCCATTAGGGTGCTATTTACAAGATGGTATTACAAATGAACTAAGATAACCTTGCCAATTTCAATCTCTGCAGCCTTAAGTTTCCTTTAAGCAGATATACAGATGCTTTAGTCTGTTGTGCATACATTTTTCTTTCATCTTTACATTTCAAGAAGAAACCTTCTCCCAGCACTCAGATGCCACATGAAAGGCCATAAAGCAAGAGCTCCTGGAAATTTCTTTGTGCAATAACAATATGACCAATCTTCAGATGTTAACAGATCACAGCCACATCCTATGAAACTGAAAAACCAGATCTGACCAGAACTTGGCTACCCTCTTGGTTTCAATTACTATTACTGAAACAATTTCTTTGGTTTCAAGGACTAAAAATGCTAGCCAGGGGTTGAAAGACAAATACCATATGATCTCACCTTTAACAGGAAGCTAAACAACAAAACAAACAAACAAGCAGAAAAAAAACAAACAAAAAACAAAGACACTGAAATAGAGAACAAGGGATAGTGACCAGAGGGGAGAAGGAAGGGAAGTTAAGGGGAAAATGGGGGAGGGATTTGGAGGAACAAATAGGAAGGACACAGGGACGAGAACTAAGGGGGGTGGAAATGGGAGGGAGGTGGGGAGCAAGGGGCGGGGGAGGCTGGGATGGGAAAAATAGACAAAAAACTGTACTTGAAAAATAACTAAATAAAATTTAAAAAAAAAAAGTTTTTAGGTTTTGAAGTCAGTGATAGGAAATGCTCTTGTCTATGTATCTCTATTGAAAATAAAGTTCCCTGTAGGTTGAAACTTGAGGCCCCAACAGAATAGTTACTGATTTCTCAATTGTGTGCTCCTATGGCCAAAGGGTACATTAACATTTATAAAGATAAACAAATGATTAAATTTAAATAGAGATCTAGACCTGACAGCTGGCACCATGGCGTTACATGCTTGGCAAAGTAAGACATCTGATGATCTCAGCCCAGTCCTTGCTCACTTTATGCCAAAGCTGCCATCACCTAATGGCCATTGCAATGCTGTCCACTATAACTCTGTGCTGGAAGAGAGTGTAGGAGGTAAATGGTAAGGGAAAAACTACAATTAAAAAATGTAAAATGATTACAATGGAAAACACACACACACCCAGAGAAAATCCTAAAATTAGTCCTTTTCATGACTTCAGCAGGAGGCAGAGTTTACAATACCTGTTTTCTCAGGCTGCTTGCTCACCCAGACATGGCTGGCTGCTCCTGGCCTTGTGACTAAAAGCACGCTTTGAACCCAAAGCAGCCCCTGAGCATCGAGGGCTTTAGCCCCAGTGTTTGCAGAAATCAGAAAAGCTTCAAGGAAAACTTTCTTCACAAGACTCATGAGAACCCAATGGTACCCATATGCTGCCTGGGCATGGTGGCTGCCCTCACCTTTAAGCTTCCCCCAGGGTTAGAGCCAACACTTCAAACTCATGATGCCCACCTGGATAGCCACCCAGGGCTTCAAGGTCTTAAATCTTAAATCTCGACCCTAAGCCTACATCCTGGCTTTGAAATCACTGCAGAGTTTATTCCCAGGCCCAGGAGCAACCATCAGTCCTGCCACCAGACTTACTCCCTCTTCTCTTGACAAGCCCCTGTGTCAATGGGGGAGGAATCGGCCAAATGAATACCTGATTCCGCCCCCCCACCCCAAGAATCTTAGGTTCAGTTCTGTTTGGGTGTTCCATACTTCTATTTCTGCTGTACCTTCTCCACCCTCTACTTTATAAACTCTGATCTGCTTGGAGGAGGAAAAGAAAGAAAGAAAATCCTAAAATCAGCCAGCAGGCTGTTTTGGTCATCAATGCCTTCGAAAATGTGAATACAGTTTCGGACCCCAACACACACTCATACTCTGTCCTGTGACTGGGGACCGTGAAATGATATGCATCTTCTTAGAGGTATCTGTACTACAGCCCCACCCTCCCTCCACTCAACACCAGCTGGCCCTGCAGCACGTGCCTTCTGAAAGAGCAGGCCATGCTCTGGGTGCAGAATGACTGGGCTTGTCCAGCCAAGATCTGCTGTGCTCCAGCACACACCTAATCACCCCGTACCTCCACTTCCTCACCTGGAGGTTAGGGAAATCAGAGGGTCCTTGGTATCAGATGGGCCTTAGCTCAAACACTGAGATGCATTCTCTGTCCAATCTAAAGAATCATCTCACTCTTACCCAGCACAGTACTTTATTTCTTCACAGCACAGGCCACTCTCACTCTCTGAAATTCTTATTTGTTGACTTATTTATTGTCTGGTCTCCTACCAGAAAGTGAGTGCCTCAGGAACAGGAATTTTACCTGTCCAGTTCTTGATCCTATGTATCTCTCAGCTATGCTACATAAGCAATGTTTGATAAATAGCTGTTAAATGGATAATAATCACTGATATATACTGGGTACTTCTGTTGAAAGCACTAGTCCATGTACTTCAAATGCCTTAAATGATGACTAAATAAGTGAGTCCAACATACTGAGCACTGTTCTTATTAGCATAGTTATTTAGTACAGGTGACCCCTGAACAACATGGGTTTGAACTGTATGAGTTGATTTACCCAGATTTTTTTTTAAATCTGTACTGCATTTTCTCTTCCTTAGGATTTTCTTAACGACATACCAATTCTGATTATATGACAATGTTACCAAATGCTCAACAGCAAAGGGAATGGAGCTCTAAGGGTTCTTCATTGCCTCTCTCAAGAACAGGTTCCTAAGATTCAGTTTCTCCTGGACCCTGTCCTCCCAACACTTGCCCACCTCATCACTTCCCAGATGTGATGCCAGCACAGCTTCTCGGCCAGTAGTATATGTTCCTTCTCTCCCCACTCAAGCAGATTTTCACCTTGAAGGAGCAAAAGCCAACTTGTGAAGTTAAAAAAGGGAGATGCCATCCTGTCATGCCTCCTTTGGCCTACACCTGTCCCTTGGAGAAAATTCACATTAATAATGGCCATCAGTCCCGCCTCCATTAGCAAGGAGAAGTCCATAGGGTGTACTGAAGCCAACGCTAAGTAGCATCCCAGGATGCTCCCAGGTTTGCCAGTGGGTGAGCCTCAATGAGAAACTGTCTGGTGCTGGTCTGAACTGCATCTTCTCTACCTCAGTTAACAAAGGCAGCCCACTTAAAGTGCCTGCAGATACCAGAGCAAAAGCCAGCAGCTTTTCTGAATACTGCACACTGAACTCAAAGGACTCACAGCTAGTTTTACACCCTGAGATATTGTACCTTATTTAGTGAATCCACTCATATTTAGTGAATTTGCTTGATAACAGAGAGGTTTTTAACTAAAGGCTGAAGCAGGCACCATTGTCAAAGAAGATGAGAGATGTGGACCATCAAGGCCCTCCATCTCTTCAGAACCACTGGAAACAATGGGCTAGGTCTCAGATAACAGCAAGAAAAGGATAAGAACTAAAGTCCTAATCAGGGCCATCAAAGCCAGATGCAGCTGCCAAAAAGCAAAGGGCAGACTCCACATCCATGGAGTGGCAGGTCCACACATTCTGCTCTCCCCATGAAACACCCAGCTCCTGTTCCCCCTACCCCTAGGACTAGTAATAATATTTGGGATAGTTACCTTTCTAGGAGAATGTTTTACAAAAATA